ATCCTGATTTTGCCGGAAATTTCCGTCGACTCAGTCCACATTCCGAATATTGCAGCAGGACCGTGAAAGGTCGATTTTCTACTGTCGTTCGTTGCACTGAAATGCGTTTTAGCAGAGTTCTACGATTCTGGTGGGATCTCAGTTTTGCTGGAAATTTTCGTCGACTCAGTCCATATTCCGAATATTGCAGCAGGAGCGTGAAAAGTCGATTTTCTAGTGGCCTTCGTTGCACTGAAATGCATTTTAGCAGGGTTCTGGGATTCTGGTGGGATCCTGATTTTGCCGTAAATTTCCGTCGACTCAGTCCATGTTCCGAATATTGCAGCAGGAGCGTGAAAAGTCGATTTTTACTGTCGTTCTTTGCACTGAAATGCATTTTCGCAGGGTTCTGGGATTCTGGTTTTTATCCTGATTTTGCCGTAAATTTCTGTCGACTCAGTCCATTTTCCAAATATTGCAGCAGGAGCGTGAAAAGTCGATTTTATAGTGGCGTTCGTTGCACTGAAAAGCATTTTAGCAGGGTTCTGGGATTCTGGTGGGATCCTGATTTTGCCGTAAATTTCCGTCGACTCAGTCCATATTCGCAATGCTGTAGCAGGAGCGTGAAAGGTCGATTTTCTACTGTTGTTCCTTGCACTGAAATGCATTTTAGGAGAGTTCTTTGATTCTGGTGGTATCCTGATTTTGCGGTAAAGTTCCGTCGACTCAGTCCACATTCCGAATATTGCAGCAGGAGCGTGAAAGGTCGATTTTCTACTGTTGTTCCTTGCACTGAAATGCATTTTAGGAGAGGCCTGGGATTTTGGTGGTATCCTGATTTTGCCGGAATTTTCCGTCAACTCAGTCCATATTCCGAATATTGCAGGAGGACCGTGAATGGTCGTTTTTCTGCTGTCGTTCTTTGCAATGAAATGCCTTTAAGCAGACTTCTTTGATTCTGGTGGTATCGTGATTTTGCGGTAAATTTCCGTCGACTCAGTCCATATTCGGAATGCTGCAGCAGGACCGTGAAAGGTCGATTTTCTACTGTCGTTCGTTGTAATGAAATGCCTTTAAGCAGACTTCTTTGATTCTGGTGGTATCCTGATTTTGCCGGAAATTTCCGTCGACTCAGTCCACATTCCGAATATTGCAGCAGGAGCGTGAAAAGTCGATTGTCTATTGTCGTTCGTTGCACTGTCTTGCATTTTAGCAGAGTTCTTTGATTCTCGTGGTATCCTGATTTTGCCGTAAATTTCCGTCGACTCAGTCCATGTTCCGAATATTGCAGCAGGAGCCTGAAAGGTCGATTTTCTACTGTCGTTCGTTGCACTGAAATGCGTTTTAGCAGAGTTCTACGATTCTGTTGGGATCTCAGTTTTGCCGTAAATTTCTGTCGACTCAGTCCATGTTCCGAATATTCCAGAAGGAGCGTGAAAGGTCGATTTTCTAGTGGCGTTCGTTGCACTGAAATGCATTTTAGCCGAGTTCTGGGATTCTGGTGGTATCCTGATTTTGCCGGAAATTTCCGTCGACTCAGTCCATATTCCGAATATTGCAGAAGAAGCGTGAAAGGTCGATTTTCTACTGGCGTTCGTTGCAATTTCTTGCATTTTAGCAGAGTTTTAGGATTCTGTTGGGATCTTCGTTTTGCCGTAAATTTCCGTCGACTCAGTCCATGTTCCGAATATTGCAGCAGGAGCGTGAAAAGTCGATTTTTACTGTCGTTCGTTGCACTGAAATGCATTTTAGCAGAGGTCTGGGATTCTGGTGGTATCCTGATTTTGCCGGAAATTTCCGTCGACTCAGTCCACATTTCGAATATTGCAGCAGGAGCGTGAAAAGTCGATTTTCTGCTGTCGTTCGTTACACTAAAATGCGTTTTAGCAGAGTTCTGGGATTCCGTTGGGATTATAGTTTTGCCGTAAATTTCCGTCGACTCAGTCCATGTTCTTCATATTGCAGCAGGAGCGTGAAAGGTCGATTTTCTGCTGTCCTTCGTTGCACTGAAATGCGTTTTAGCAGAGTTCTGGGTTTCCGTTGGGATCTTCGTTTTGCCGTAAATTTCCGTAGAATAAGTACACATTCCGAATATTGCTGCTGGAGAGTCAAATGTCGATTTACTACTGTCGTTCGTTGCACTGCAATACATTTTAGCAGAGTTCTGTTATTCTAGTGGTATCCTGATTTTGCCGTAAATTTCCGTCGACTCAATCCATATCCCGAATATTGCAGAAGGAGCGTGAAAGGTCGATTTTCTACTGGCGTTCGTTGAACTGCAATGCATTTTAACAGAGTTCTGTTATTCTAGTGGTATCCTGATTTTGCCGGAAATTTCCGTCGACTCAGTCCATGATCCGAATATTCCACCAGGAGCGTGAACGGTCGATTTCCTGCTGTCGTTCGTTGCATTGAAATGCGTCTTAGCAGAGGTCTCGGATTCTGGTTGTATCCTGATTTTGCCTTAAATTTCCGTCGACTTGGTCCATGTTCTTCATATTGCAGCAGGAGCGTGTAAGATCGATTTCCTGCTGTCGTTCTTGGCACTGAAATTCGTTTTAGCAGAGTTCTGGGATTCTTTTGGGATCTCAGTTTTGCCGTAAATTTCCGTCGACTCAGTCCAGAATCTTGCCGCAGGAGCGTGAAAGTTCGATTTTCTGCTTGTCGTTGCTCGCACTGAAATGTGTTTCAGCAGAGTTCTGGTATTCTGTTGGAATCTGAGTTTTGCCGTAAATTTCCGTCCTCTCAGTCCACATTCCTAATATTGCAGCAGGAGTATGTAGTGTCGATTTTTAGCTATTGTTCCTTGCACTAAAATGCATTTTAGCAGATTTCTCGGATTCTCGTGGGATCTTAGTTTTCTCGTAAATTTCCGTTGACAACATTCAATTTTTTGGAATTTTGCGATAGGAGCACTAATTGCCGTTATTTCAGCGCTATTCGTCGCTTTTGTACGTACGAATGCAGAGTAATATTTTTCTATTGGAATCCTCATTTTACCGGAAATTTCCGTTGACTCAATCTATATTCCGAATCTTGCTGCAAAGTCAAGAAATATTGATTTCCTTCTTTCGTTGTTTACACTGATATGCATTTTGGTGGTGTTCTCGGATTCTTTCCCAGTCTTCGTTTTTCGGAGAGATCTGGAGATTCCTTTCATTTTTCGAATCTTGCCTCTGGAGCACGAAATTTTAATTTTCCGCCGCTGGTCGTCGCTCTTGTTCGGACGATGGCAGAGTCCTATTTTTCTAATGGAATCCTCATTTTACCGGAATTTTCCCTGAACTTATCCATGTTCCGAATATTGCTACAGGAGCATGACATGTCGATTTTCTGCTGTTGTTCTTTTCACTTATGTTCCGTTTTGCGGAGTTCTCGGATTCTTTAGGGATCTTAGTTTTGCCGTAATTTTCCGTTGACAGCTGTCAGTTTTTCGGAATTTTGCTATTGGAGCACGAAATGTCGATTTTCCGCCCTCCAAATGGGCGGCCGCAGAATATCGACCATTCATGCTTTTGTTGCAAAATTCGGAAAAATGGGCTACCTTTACGGAAATTTATTTAAATTTATTTTAAAATAATGTTATTTGGAACTTGGTTTGTGGCAACATTATGACCTTTTTGACCGTCGGATGTAGGAAAGTGCACAGAATTTCAGGGGCGAGGAGGGAACATCCCGGCTACCTTTTTCCCGAAAGCGCGCGATTGCGTTGTCGTCCGGCTTCTCAACCCCTCTTGCATTCCGAAGGCGGCTTCCAGGAGTTCGACCTGGATTCCGTCGGCGGCGATTCGCGCGGTCCGCATTGATACATCGAGTCCCTTCGAAGTCATGGGGTTTTGCCGAAAAAAAAGTTTTTCTCAAGGATGCACTGCGCTTCAAGCACTGTAGATATTTTAATGGTGTTTGCTGCATTTGAAATTGGAAAGATTAAGCTTCAAAATAGTGCGTTTGCCTTTGATATATCTTCAGCATGTTCTGTAATTTGTGAGCTCATATGTACAAGAAACAAAAAAAACCTTTTTTTTCCACCTGTCTTGTCCTGCTTCAACGTAATTTTTGCTTTGTTTTGGCTCCCGAATTTCGGAAACCGTTGAAGGTATTTGTAATGTAAATACACCAATGTAAAGCTTATTCATTCTCCTTTCAAATGCAGCAAACCGCATTGAAATATATGCTGTGAGTGCATTTTTCCGAATCATGCGGCAGACGCATGAAGTGCCGATTTTCTGCTGTCGTTCGTTGCACTGATACCCATTATGGCAGAGTTATCGATTTCTTCTGGAATCCTTTTTTTTGTTGGGAATTTCCTGAAATTTATTTCATTTTTCTATGGAATTTTTCTAAACTATTTCTCCTGTGCGGTAGGAAATGATTCCATTGTGTAGAGGATGGTACCTGCAAGTACTACCTGGGAGTTCTCACTTGTCCCTAGACGATATCTCTTGGACACCCTTCGGATATTCTTGGGCTGCTAGACATCCTTGGCATGTCAGAATGTCCAGACATTCTGATATCCCTGAGATTTCCCTTCTCCATGTCTCTGGGACCTTGCACTTTTCCCAAGGGGATATCTCTGTGATACACCTGGGATGTATCTGTGCTGTGTGGGGCCCGAATGGGAATCGAAGAGGAGAGTGCATTTCCATCAGCGGAAAGTCTTCTTTGAGAGGATTTCATTTGTCAATGTGGACTGCGCAAAGAGCCGCCGACGACACAGATCCAATCACCCACTGTCTTTTTTTTTGTTTTTTTTTTTAGCATTTGGCTTCGATGCCAAGAGTGTAATAAGCTGCCAGTTGTATCCAATCATTTCAAGCAATCAAGCCTCAATTCACCGGTTTCCTTGAACTTCATGCTTTTTTAGCGACTTTTTGTTCACCATTTAATTATTTATATAAAGTCGGTATTAATAATTTAAAATCATTGTTTAAAATTTTGACTTTACAGTACCATAAAAATTATTGTCCCGATCAACATGTGCTCGCATCCTCCAAAGGAACGGAAATGCGAACGGTGCAAGCATGAAGGCCACCAGGGATGCCGGCAGCGAGCATGCCGCTCAGGCAGTCGCCGTCATGGCCGCCACGGGAGAAGAGGGTGTTTCGCTGAATTCCCTCTGGGATGCCATCCGCGATCACCTCCAGCCGTTGAACGAGGATACGAGGGAGCTGGTCCGGGCCAGGGTCGAGGCCTTTCAGAGGAGATGCGCTGTGCTCGGCGCCCAAGCAGGTCAGATTGGGTTTCGGTTGCACCGTGTCGCCTAGGCCTAGGCTAACGGACTTCATGGGGCAGTAGTTTGCTTATTTATTTGAATGTACCGCCTGAAAATTGCCTTTCCCTGCTAATACAAGTAGATTAAATTGCTATGCAAATGTATTTAAATTTCTAGAGTTTCATTGAAAGTGTTTCTTGTAGTCTTGAGAGCAACTGTTGCACTAAATGATTTTTTTTTTTTAACTTGGGAACGGCTCTGGCAACTTCACTAGCTGTGATTTTACCAGCCAAGCAAGAGAGCAAAATTCCTAGCTCGTAATTCATGAGCAGTTTCTGAATTTGAAGCACTATCTCACTGGTTTAAGTGTATTTTGTACCAAACATCATAATGCCAGTCTTCATTGCCTTGGAATCTCTACAAAATCTTATTTTAAAAGTGGAACTCCATGCCACATGCAATTCCTAGTGGACTTTCTTGGATTCCTTCTTCACACCTCCCAGAAAGCTGCTAAATATGATATTTATTAACCAATTTTTTTTCCTCTTTCTTCAACCTCTTTTCAGTCGTCGCAGTTCTCTTGCCTGTCCTTGTGTGTTTGGAAGCGGTTTGAAGCAACATTCATTGTTTCACTGCTGTTAGTCTTAAACCCAGCCCCTGTGATTGCACCTATCCTAATCAAGCTTAGCTTTGCCTTGGTCCTGTTTCTATCAAGTTAATAGCAGTGATTGCTTTGTGAAATTTTAGAATAATAGTTAAGCTAAGTGTTAAATCCTTAGCAATGCCTGCCAGACCTACATCAGTCCTGCCTAATTTTTGCCATTGGACTTTCTCTGCAAAGTCTAACATTAGGATGTAGGAGAGCATTCAGATCCATCTGATGTAAATTCTTGTATGGAAACCTGTTTAACATAGCTTTTCCAATCAATTTTACATGTGGGCTAAGTGACGTCAGCATATGTACTTTGCTCAAGCCCTCTGTGGGAATTGTACCCATCTGACCATATTTCACAGGATTCTTGGCTCTGCCAAAGGACCTTAGGTTTACCTTGTGGAAGAACCTTGTGTATTGCAGACAAGTAGCTTTGTTCCTTTTCCAGAAAGGTTTCATTCTTCTGAGAGATTTGCAAAAGCCAAAAAAAAAAAAACCTTGAGTCCTGTCTTGGCAATATTTTATTTGATCCCTCCCAGGCTACTGGTCTGATTTCATGAGATTTCCTGACCTGATGCAGATCAGGGCCAGTGTATATTTTCCAGTCTTTTGTATACTTGTGAACCAGTCTCTTGTCCCTATCCTTACCCTGTCTTTCATTTTGAAGTAGGCTGCCCATTAGATGCATCATATATTTAAAATGCCATAATTTTTTAAAGCCTAGTTTGAAAGTGTCATCACCTTTAGGGAATAACTGTATTTTTATTAAGTGACCATTTAGGCCTAAGCCAAAAGCTTTGAGCTTTCTAAGTACTGGTATGACCTACTGGTCAGAACAACACATATCTGTAAACAGGGATAGAATCAGGCCTTAACGTTGTGTGTTGGTGTGTCTGATCCGCAGAGCAAGGTCAGGTCGAGCAAGAACACGAGCTGCAGGCTGTGAAGACTCAGTTGGAGAAAGAATCTTCAGCCTTGAGAGATTCCAGCCAGAGGGTCACCCAGTTAGAAGGAGACTTAGAGACCTGGAAGCAAAAGTGCGCGGAAGCCGGACGCAAGCTCGACAGGTAATCGGCAGTCGTTCGCTTTTGTCAATCTTGTGTGCAGGGTGAGCGAATTGCAATCTGGACTGCAGCCATGAAGCCAAGGTGGAATCTCTGGAGAAGGAGAAGAGGAAGCTGGAAGAGGAGTCAAAGGAGCTGGGGATGATGCTGGAGAGGAAGGGCAACGAGATACTCCGCTACCAGCAGGAATACAAGAACATCACTGAGCAGCTGATCGCGGCAAGTACAGCCAAGTGCCAGGCCTGCCTTCGGGTCGAAGAGCTCGAGTACCAGCAGAGGGAATGGAAGCACAAGTGAGTTGTGCCGGAAAGACTAGAATAATCCCTTCTACACCTTTCCAAAATAATGGATGAGCTTGGAGATTGACCAGACAAGAGAATTCCTAAGTCTATAGTAACTTTGAGCTTTATACAAGCAAATTGAAGTTTTCATGGCAATATTCATGAGCTTACTTTCACCTCCATCTCCTGTCCCCACTCTTTCAGAATGAATCAAGGGCTGGTCATGTAGAAATGGCTAATCCCCCCCCCCCCCCAAGAGTATTTATACTTCATTGGATGAGATGCAGTTGTTGATACTGTTTGTTATCACCTTGAATCTTCTAGGGGGAAGCACTGGGAGGAGGAGAAGCATCTGCTTGAGAAGCAGGTGGAACAGCTGACAAAGGAACTCCAGGAGAAGGTGGAAGCATCTCTCGACACCAACCGCGAGAAATCCACCAAGCTTCTTCAGGCACAGCTATGTCTCTCAGAGAAGATTGAGGAGGTGAGAGAACTGTGAAACTCTTAGATGCTCATTTATTTGGGGGAGCCAGATCATGCCAGTCTCCTGTCTCCCTTTCCTTGTGTGGGTGGTCATCTGACATGGAAAAAAAAAAAGGGATTGTCCATGGAGGATTAAGTTCTGTGGCCACACTTGCTCTTGGCGCAGACTGGAGGGGGTTTAGACTCAAGTCTCACATTATTCATGTCATTTTGTGAAGTTACAGCAGTATCTGTTGGTTAGGAAAGGTTCATAGGGATGATTAAGTTGTGTGCTCTTTGGTTGCATATCAGTTCTTAATGCAAGGTGTGTGAGGTTTTTCATGGTTAATGAATGTAATTTTTGGATTAACAGTTGCAGAACTAAATCAGTTAAAAAAACAAGAATCTCATTCTGATTCTGTGCATATAAGGTCTCTCTTTGGTATGAACTGAGCAAAATGAGATACTATGTGTTTCAGCATAAAAAGTGGGGCTCTGATTAGAACTTGATCCTCCTTTTCACAGCTGCGAATGAGTGAAGGAACGATCGAGGCCCTCCGATCCAAGACGGAAAAGCAGGAGAAGCACGTAGAGGAGCTAAATGAGACGTTGCACAACCTCAGAGCATCCATGCAAGATCTTGAAGACAAATACAGGCAAGAGGTGAAAGCTCAGAAGAAGCTTGTGGCCATATATGAAGGTAAAACAATCATGATTTGTTCATTCCTTCTCTGTGGTTCTGTGTCTTTATTATAGCCTTCTATTTTCTGTTGCTTAGCAATTTCTTTTCACTCTTGTTTGATCCAGTCCCTTTTTCATACTTTACGAAGACTAAAGTATGTCAGGTAAAGTGAAAAATCAATCACTTGCATACACTTTATGTGTGCAAGTAAGCTGATGGTTGCAACTCTTGTTTTACTTTACATTCCCCTTCTTTGGTGAATCTGTACTGAAGTGTTTCTTCTCTCCTGATTGCAGAGGCAGCAGTGTCCTCAGAGCAGAAGTGCCAGGAGATGGAGCGGGCCCTGGGGGAGATGCAGGGTCAGCTGGACGGCGAAGTGAAGGCCAGGGCCGACCTCGAGGAGGACCTCGTGAGGGCGAAGGGGGAGCTGGAGGAGGAGCAGAAGAAGAGGGCTGCTGCCATTGCCACACTGCAGAGGGAGCTCAAGGATGCCAATTCTTTGATTGAAAGCCTTAAAAGAAGAGGTAAGGCATAGGTGAAGGATGGCGGTTGACCTTAGAAAAGCCTTTCGTGAAGTGGTTGTGTTATTGGTTTGCCTATGCACAGTTGACGATTTAAGAGTGGGGAAAGGTGGGGAATACTTGAAGTACTGGTATGCAAAGTATGCTGAAATGTGCTTCTCCATGAATGTAACAAGGTGGGGTCTCTTTTAGGGGTGGGCAAGGCATTTGCTGCTATTTTATCGTTGAAGGATGTCTCCTCGCCTTATCAGTTTTTGCATACATATGGGGTTCTTTAATATATTCTGTTTATCCAGATATCATCAAAGGTATAAATTCTGGTAGAACATAGTTCATTCTCAAGGGAGTAAATTCTGGGACATGCATGTTTTTCTGCTAAATATTCGGTGTAGGCATGTGCAAGTAACACGTGAGTTGAGAGGAGTGAAGGGTATGAAAAAATGCTTCATGGATGTTCTGGGTTCTGTTACCTTCTTAAGGAAGACCCTCAACATTTCCATCCTTTCCTCCTGTCATTTTTTAATTAGTCATTGTGTTGGTTCAAGTCACTGATGTGATTTCCCTCATTTCAGGGCCCAGTGGGAAAGGAGCGGAGATTCTCTCGGAGTCTGCTGCAGCTGCAGCGAAAGTCTTCCAGTCTGGGTTCAGTCTCACCCAGCTCTACTCCGAATACATCTCCGTGTCGGAGGCCCTGGAGACTTCCAAGGCGGAGAACCATCGCCTGTCGACCTACATCGACCAGATATTGGCTGTGAGGAATCCGATCTCCAGCAGAAAAATGGAAATATAATTTTTAAATTAATTATTGGAATTTTTTTTTAATTTGGAAGAATTTAGTGCTTTCAGAAGACTTAATGCTGTGGTACTTTCAGGAAATCGAGGAGAGAGCACCATCCCTGCAGAAGATGAAGGAGGACCGGGACCATGCCCTGGAGACGATCAATGCCCTCTCGAAGCAGCTGGAAGGAGCCATGAGAGACAAGCACGAGATCTCCTACCGCCTGCTCGAGGCGGAGAAGAACGTCAGAGCTGCAGAGGCGGAGAAGAATGCCACTCTCCAGACGCTGGCCGATCTCAAAACACAGGTGCTTGCTCTAATGTGATGCCAGATTTTGTACTGTATGCTTTAGGCATACTTGGCCTTAGAGGCAGCTGGTGGTGGAGTGTTTTTTCAGTGCACTGTGTGTGAAATGGAAAGAATTTTGGTTGTGTTGGTTAATTTACTGCAAAAAATATAGATCTAGAAAAGTTTGGTATTTGGCTTCATCTCAATTCTTTCTAAATATGGATAGGGAGCAGGATTGCTGCATCTGGTTCCAATTTGCCAAAGTTACTTGTATGGCAAGACTATGCTTTGGACTGCAGTGTTGCAGCTGAGTGCTGTGACAACTTTTACTGTACAATTTAGGAAGTTTCCTAGTTCATCTGTATATTGGAGAAGTGTTGTGACTGTGACAGCTTTTTAAAAAGCTTGGAGCTCTCCCTATCAGTACTTTGCAGCTAGAGGAAACTTCAGCATCTTGCCTAGCAATATTATCCAAAGGTTCAAATTCTTTTCAACTGAATATGCACCACCACAGGCCAGGCATTAAAAAAAAATAGCCTATCAGTGTTATTTCAAGTGTACATTCTTCTGATAATAGGGCACATTTTATTGATGACCAATGCAAAAATCTGCAAAAAGAAATTTTCAAAGAGGGAATGAGGAAATATTTTGTATTCTAAATTGCCTGCCCACTCATGGATATATTTTTCATTCAGGTGCTTTGTTTGCTGAAAGAAGTGGAGAAGTTGAAAGGGAAGGAAATCTCAGATTCGCTGTCAGAAGGGGAATCTGAAGTCTCATCAACGGCAGATTCACAGCAGGTGAGGGTCGGGTTGGATTAGTTTCATTATAGTCACATGCTGGGATTTTTTTAGCAGCTTTTTTTTGGGGGTGAAAACAGCTGGAATTGAAGCCTTTTGCTTTTTTTTCTCTCTTCTAAGACTGATTCTTTCGACAGTTTTTGTCAATAATAATTTCTTTTTTTTGGTCCTTGTCTGTCTTTTTTATTGGGAATGTAACCAATTTCACACAAATTGACACTTCCTTGGTAGAATGGAACCTTATCTCTGCTTTCTTTTTTCCCATTCTGATTATTTGCTTTTCTGTTCATCATGCTGCTACTGCATGCCTGTTTTTGAAATTTTCTCTCATGGATCAAAAGGTACAGATCAGTTTTTAAGGTGCATGCACAGAGTTGTCTATTTTTATTGTCTGGAAAATGGGTTAAAATGCAGGTAAGTGGTTTCTCTTTCCCAGTTGATCTCGGAGAAGTTGGTGAGGTTCCGAGACCTGGAGGAGCTGCAGGAGCAGAATCAGAATCTCTTGACGACCATCAGGGATCTCACTTCCCACTCGGAGGATATCGAAATCCAAGCAGCCCAAAGGAAGGAGAAGGAGTATCAGGTAACCTGGAGCCTTTTTATGGGTATTTAATTTTGTAAATCTAGTGCCTTTTTATAATTGTGACATTTAAAATAATGGTTGGAAGGTTATTTTGCTGCATTACATTTTCCAGCCATGAAATGTAGCCACAAGTAAAGGGATGCAGCACTCTTTAAGGGCCAATTGGCAAATGCTTGTACCGCAGCATTTTTCTGCTGATTTGCAGGTGAAAAAGTTGGTAAAAAAATATATATATATTAATGTGCAATTATATGCTAGTTGAAGTGAGGGAAGTAATTTCATTTGCAAGAGCACCAGAAGACTGAACAAGTTGTAGGATTCCTCAGCCATTAGGGAGACAGTGGGAGAAATGGGTTAAAAAAAGAACAAACAGCAAGGGAGTTGCCAGTTACAGAGGAAAGTTGCTCTTTTTTTTTCAGCTGGGCTCCAAGTAAATGTAGCAGGTTCTTTGAACTAAGCATGAAAGTATTGGAGAATTATCCTTTTCTTTTTATTCTTCTGATAAAGCCAGTAATGGGGATAGTTTTTCATCCTGGAAGGAATATTTCCTGGCTTACCAATGGTTAATCTGGCAATTTGATGAACATTAAAACTGATTTGTTGCAAAATGTCCCATTTGGGTTGCAAACATGGTGTGTTTTTCTCAGTTTGGCTCTTGCCTTCTTCCTTGGCTTAGGAAAAGTTGGATGTGCTGGAAAAGGAGCTGCAGCAACTGAAGGCCTCAAGGGAGAGGCAGGAATTGTTGATGGAGAATTTTGCTCGACAGAGGGACATGTATCGCCAGCTGGCCTCCCATGATCCGTCTGTCAGGTCTCCTCCGTCGTCCTTCAGTCAACCCGTGAGGCCCTCTTTCTTTTTTTATCTATTTTTTTTACTTCCTCTAGGAGTCTATATTTGTTGAATTAAGCCTGCAACTGCTGGCATCAACATGAGGTTCATTTAGTTTCATGATTCTTATTTGTGTGCTATTTTCTTTACAAGGATCAGGCAATTGCAGAATCAACACCCATCAGGAAGGAGGGCTCTCCATCTGTAATAAAACTCAGGGAAATGGAAGGTGCGCTGGAACGATTGAAGGAGGAGTATGCCTCTTATCGGAGGGAGAAGGAAGAACACGAGAGGATGCTCAATCAGAGGATTGAGAGATATGAGGAAATAACAGCTACTGCTCAGTTGGTCTATTTTTTGCCTTTCAAAATTGAAAAAAAACTTATTCTGAGTGCCTAATTATTGGTTTTTGTTCTTACATAGGATGAAACAGGTCAAGTTGGAGTCCAAAGTTGAATACAGCGAGGAGCGGTTGAAAATAGTCAAGACCAACTTGGAGTCATACAAGAAGCAAATCACAATGCTCGAGGAGCGAAATAAACAATATTCAGCAACTAATGCGAAGCAAGAACAAACCATCCTAGCCCTTCAAGATGTCAGTCCTCTGCCTATTTTTGTGCAGTGTTTCCTTAATTGGCTGCAAGAAGTGCAGTGTCACAAAAGCAATGCAATCCCTGTTGCGATTTTTCAGGAAGTGCTGAAAGCGAAGTCAGAGGTCCACCGCCTCGAAATCACCAACGAGAACCTCCGCAAGGAGAAGGAGCTCCTGAAGGTGTCCGAGGCCCGTCTCACGCACGAGAAGGAGTACTTGAGTCGGGAGGCCAGGACCCAGGGCTCGGTTATGGCCAACCTGGAGGCCATCAAGCTGCAGCTGGAGAAGGCGGAGTCCTTCTCGAAGATGCAGATGGAGAATCAGGTTTGTTTTTATGAGACATTGGTGGGTGGATTGGTACATGCAAATGGGAGGTGAATTCTTCAAACATCCAGATTCAAGCAATGTCGATTTTTCTCATTGGTGCTGTTAATTGTTTTGTCCTACTGGAACTCTTGCCACCAGTAGCCATTCTGACTCTATTATTACATGTAAATGCCATTAATTGTAGCATTAGTTATTAGAGATGCAACGATATTGAATTTTGGCCGATATCCGATATACCGATAATTCCGATATTGGAAAAGAACCGATCCCGATACCGATAACCGATACCGATATCTTTATATACATTTATATTTGCACATTCAGAGTAGATTTTGAACAGTGAACTATCTGATTACACTGCTTTATTTCCAGGAAATGTGTGTTTACCCCAGAATAAAGCTGCATTATCAGATTGTTCTCTGTTCAAAAATCCACCCTCAGGCATTAACCCCTCCACTTTTAAGTTTTATTTTGGGCCAGGTCTGATGGGGAAAGCTTGAGGTGCACCAGTGGTGCACCTCATGCTTTTGCCATTTCTCCAATAGTGAAAAGAAATGTTTTCTTCATGCTGAAGACAGGCTCCTCAATGTGGATATTTTTAAATATTACATTGGATTTGCATCAGGCATTTTATTTCCTATGTTCCATCATAGAACTTGCAATAAGGTGGAATAGCAATTCTTTTTCTTTTTTTCAAAGTAGCACTCAGTTCAGAAAATGTCAAGAATGTCAAAGTTCCCTCCTTCATACCTCTAATGGACACCCAGACAGACATGACTGACAAATTGTTAACACATCAGGTAATTTGCCATGAAGATGAAATGCAAACATAACTGCTTTTCAGGAAAATTTCTAAGCAATCAATCATTTATTATATTACAGAAGTTTTTATCTACAAAGATATTTATGTAATGCATTATATTATGACATTATTAATATTTTTGATAAATCAGGGCTGCACCGACGTATTGACAACCACAGAGATTCGCCTCTGGTGTTGCACCANGTAATTTCAATATCGGTTATCGGCAGGTCATATATCGTTTTAGGCCGATATATCGGATTCACCTAATATCGGCCGATACCGATAACCGATAAAATATCGTTGCATCTCTATTAGTTATACTTGAGAACCATCTCATAACCCCTTCTCTGTTATTTGGGTGTGTAAGCATGCTTTGTGTCTCGAGGTTTCATGACTTTTCCCAGTGTCTGCCTCATCAATATAAGGTTTTGACTAATCTTGCAGTCCACTATAGTGACATTGCACAGTGTGACTTCACACTGTTCCCAGCCCCTCTTATTGCCTGAGGATACATTTATTAGGTTCTTATGCTCTAGAAAGTAATGTCTGCTGAGACCAACACCAATGAATTATGTGATCTTACTGTGTCAGTATGGGATAAAAGAAATGGGGAGGTGAGTTGAAGTACAGGGTGTCCCAAAAGACATCCAAACCCTACATTAAGAAACATCTTGATTTTGGTTCAAGACTTTTGAGACACCCTGTTTAAAGGGAGAGACTGCCAGGAACAAAGCTTCTTTCTGCTGGAAGTAGGCATTAGTCACCACTGGCACCAGTAATTATTTTGTTATAGTGGGATGCTCATTGTAAAAATGATCCATTGTGGCTTCAAATCCTTCCCTTCCACCTTTCAATTCATCAGCCCTCTCCTTTGCTTTCTTTTATGTGTGAATCCAAGCTATGCATGGAATACCCAATCCAGTCACATTTTTTTTTACAGGAAACTAAGTAAGAATCAATGAGGCATTTCTTTATCATGACTAGTTCAAGGAAGCTTTGCCAGGATATGCTGATAAGAGTAAGTAGGGTTGAATTGTTGTGAAAAAAAAAAAATCAACGTAAGCTATATTTTTCAGGGAATCCTACAGAAGTTTGAATGGTTACTGGGGTGTAGTACCTGTTTTCACACATTCTGCAAAGGCATGTGCTTGTTTTGCCTTCCTTCTAGCTATTTTGGCAAGGGGATGAAAATTTCCTATAAACATTTTTTACTTGTTTTGCCCTGGTTTCATCATGCAGTATTCTAAGGCAATACTGTTTCTGACAGATGGAAGACCTGAAGAACGAGGCGGCGAGATTGCGGACCGAGTGTGAGAACGTGGAGACCCGGAGGAAAGAGGCAGAGAGGCAGCTCCTCTTGGCCCGGAACAATGAAGAGGACCAGAAGACCCAGGTGGAGAGCCTGAAGCGGCAGCTGCAGGAAGGGAAGAACCTGATTGCAGAGCTGCGAGAGGAACTTGGGAAGCTGCAAAACTGTGAGGATTATGGGATGATATTGTAGGTTCAGAAGAAAAAGTGAAAAGTTTAATGGCAGTACTGTTGGATTAGGTGTGACTTTTATTTCTGTTATTCATGATTAGGGTGATTGGGATGTTTGCAAAATTGTTTCTCTGGAGTTAGAAAGGGTGTATGGGAGGTGGAGCAGTTCTTTGGGTTGTAAAGTAACTGGGTAAATCTTTCTGTTACTATTCATGTGATAGGGAGATGTGAGGAGCTCCTCCGTGACCAGAGGTTGTGAGAGTGGGAAATGCCAAGTCTAGCTTAACCTTTTCATCTCTAATGTTAAATTTTCTCTGCATATTTATGTCTTGTATTAAATAATAATGGGAAAAAATGAATGCTGGAATCCTATATAAACCCATCTGACCAGAATTCAAGTGAGATACCCAACATGAAGGAAATTTCACACAGTTCAATCAATCGTTGCAGGCAACAACCTTGATGGACAACTGCTGAAGAGCGAATGCGAGAGCCTGCGATCCCAGTTGGAGGGGAGTCGGAAGCGCGAAGAGGAACTCAAGAAGCTCGTGGCCCAGGCCGAGGAAGATCTCAGGGCTGCAGTTGAGCATCAGGCCGAATTGCAGCAGCGAATGGATGCAAAGTGCGTTCGAGATAGATTGGCCTCCTTTCCCATTTGAGAAAAAGTGAAATCTTCAATCTTTGGGGAATATTTGGAAAGTAATGTTAGAGTTCTTACACTGCTGTTTGTTTCCCCATTGGCATGTTTGTGCCACCTACCTCAGCTCAGATGCCCCAATGCAATTGATGAAGGCATCTGTGATGTCATTCTTCTTTTGCACAAATGCTTGAACAAATTCCATAAAACCTTCTGTAGTGCATTCAAGTCCTGTACATTGTATGACAAGTGCTTGTGACATATTTAATGGGAGAATTTTAGAGCTTGTCCTAATGATTCATTGAAAAATTATTCTGCTGTGATCTTTCTGTTTTCTGTCTTTCTGTTTTGTGTCTTTCTGTTTAGTTGGATCAGTAATGTATTCCTCATTTCCTTAACTCATGCTTGAAAGGACATTAGGGCAGAAAGGTCTGGGTTCCTATTCAGGAAATTGGTCAGTGTTGCAAGGCAGCAATTTACTTGCCCTTGTCATGAGATGGAATCTGCATATTTCAGGTGTACATGATAACATAACTTATATGAAAAAGAACTGAGTTGTGGCCATGGGATCAGTGGAACTTTCGAGTCTCATTTTTCTCGAGAAATCCTGTCCAGTTTTTTGCATACCTGCTTTCTTCATTCTTCACTCGAGAGCTTAGTTGTCTATTATAGACGCAAATGTGATGCATTCACACTTCTGTGCCTCTCTTTTGATTGCATCAGATTGAAAGCCACACAGGAGGAAACACAGAATTTGGAAAAGAAGAATGCAGAGCTCAACAAAGGGAAGGAGGAGCTGCAGGTGAAGCTGAAGGCTCTCGAAGACGAGCTGCAGCGAGCGGCAGCGTCTCAGGCGGCGCTGATCGAAGAAAGCAAAGGGAAGCAGCAGGAGGCAGATGATGCCCTGGAGAAGGAGAGGGCTGCTCGGGAAAGCCTTGCAGATCAGCTGAGGTGAGTGAGGAACATCTCATATAATTTATTTTAATTGAAGAATAATAATTATAAAGTTTAATTTTGAAATATATTTTAAAAGCTTTAAATAAATTATTTGCCTCTTTATTTGCTTTTCTTGTGCTCCTTAATCTCTGCCACTTGAAAGAACTCTAATATCAATCTGGGCTGCCCAGGATGACGCACGAGGCCGAAGACCGCTACGAGCAGGAGGTCATCCGGCATGGTGCCGACATGGAAGCCCTCAAGGTGCTGAGAGATCAGTTGCAGGAACTTCAGGGAAAAGCAGCCGAACTGGAGGAAGAGAAACAGGGACTGCTCTTCAAACTCACTGGTGAGAACGGTGCAATCGGAAAGCCCATGAATCTCACTTCGGCCAGCTAATCCTTTTTCATCGTTGAGCAGAGAAAGAAAGAACCTGGAAGGAGCAGGAGGAGTCCTGGAACGGGAAGGAGCAGAGCCTCCAGGAACGGATATCTGTGCTGGAGGAGCAGAACATGACCTTGCTCCAGGAAGTCGAGACCCTTTCAGCAACCTTCACGAGCCTCCGTGACTCGTCTGGAGTGAGTTTTTTCTTCACCCAAGACTTTGTGTTGCACGTTCACATTTCCCAGTAGTTTTTTTTTTTTTTCATAGCACTGGTGTAGGAAATGTGCATTGCATGAGAAGGGTTGTTGGGATCCAAGGAAAATGAGATGTTTTCTTTGGATGCAAATTACAAGTCTGTCACAATACTTAATGTACAGTCCCATTCAAGAACCCTTTCCTCTTCTGGTCTTTCTAATGGACTACAGACAATGTGGCAGGAAATGTTTTGTAGAAATTGATCTGATTAACTACATTTCTACAAAAAAAAGGCTAGAATAGGAACAGGTTTATGCTCACATTTGTACAATACTTTGATGTCAACTACTGGCTACCGAATGAGTAATGCACTTACCTGTACACTGAGCACACGGTGAGCCACTCAAGGTTTTATTGATGGGTGAATGCTGAATTGAATCTCAAGCCCAAATCTTTTGCTCATTTAGAGGATTTTAATTGGATCTTGGGATTCAATTCCAATCCCCTAATACAAAGTTGAATCCCTCATCTGGTTTGGGAGTGGCACTTCCCAGCTCCTCAGGAATCCATTTTGTTTCAAGGAGGTACCCCAAAAATTTCCATTCCGAATATGCCAGTGAATGGGTATCAAAATTCAAGGTGCTTCATAATAACTGAAAGACATCACATAGGTAGGATATTGCCATATCCTCAAGAAATCATGATTTAATAAAGAAATGAAATTCCAGATTTGAAGTATATTCCACTGCAGCCATATGAGTTGCCATAAAATGGTCCTGAATGAAATCAAAATTCAAATCAAATCTTGATTTATAGTTTTTCATCATTGTTAGGTTCAGAAGTGATTCCATCCTGCTCAAAACATGTTGTACTCCTTTTTGTTATTCTTCTGCAGTGGTGGTATTGGATGTACGGACTGACATTAGGGGCAATTTATTTTTTAGCATTGATTGGCAGTGGATTGTGTGAAAGATAGTTGACGTGCCTTGATCTGCACTCAGTCTGGAGAGGGGCTGAACATCTCCATCACAGAGGAGAACCTGAGCAAGTCCCAGGAGCAGCTGATGGAGGTGATCAAGTTCCTGCGGAAGGAGAAGGAGCTGGCCAAGACGCGGCTGGACGTCGTCGAGGTGGAGTCCCTGCGTCTGAAGGCGCAGCTCAAGGTGTCGCAGAACGAACTCACGACCGTCAAGGTCCAGCTGCTCGAGGCTCAAGATAAGACGCAGGTGAGGTCGACGGCGTTCGAGCGACATCGAAAGGGTCTTGCTGGATTTCTTCATTTGATTTCCTTTTGAATGCACCAGATGGGACTGATGTCTTCAGAGGAGCATGCAGAATTGCTTCACAAAGTGGAGCTGATGACAACATTGACTGCTAACAATCGAATCTTGAGAGAGGAGAGGGATGCGTTTCAGACAAGGAGCAAGGAGCTGGAAGCCAGGAATCAGGAATTGGAAACTGGCCTCCGTCCCCTGCAGGTATGTATTTCCTCTGATCCAAAACAATTCCAATTAATCCAAAATTTCTGCACTTGAATACATGTTCAATTTTTGTGATTCTCATCTCTGTACTATATTATGTTGCATCATGTGTGCTCAGGAGAGGGTGAGGGAGCTGGATGGCCGAATAGAGGTCCTCACCTCGGAGAATGCCACGCTGAAGGGGGAGGTGAAGAGGTGGCAGCAGCGGGCTAACTTCCTCCTCGAGAAGTCCAATCAGATCAACCCCGAAGAGCACCGGCGTCTCACGTGAGTCTTTGCCGGTCTCAGTTTCTCGTCCTTGCGACCGGTTTTGCAGTTTGGACATTCTGCAGGCGGGAAAAGGAGGAGTTGACTGGGAAGCTCCAAACCGTCCTGCAAGAGAAGTCTGCCCGCGACAGGGATGTGGAGAAGCTCAGAGTGGATGTGGGACAATTGTCTGCCCTCAACTCGACCCTCACAGATGATGTCAAGAAGGCACAAGTAGAAGTCATACGGCTGCGTCAACAGGTACAAGGTGTTTTGGAAATATGCACTTGTGTGCATTGGGCCTAACCTAGAGATTTGTCTAAGTTTTGCTCTGTCCTGTGTCAATGAAAAATCCCAATGCATTACTTGGCCATTTCATAGACTATCATCAGCTTGTGGCTCTTTTGGTGATTGGAGCACAAAACCTTTAAGATATTAAAATCAAATTTTGAAGTCCTTTAACTAAGTTCAAACCATTCAACTCCTGTAATTTTTATTGCCTGTCCATCTAAATGATATATATGTTAAAGGAAGCAAAATAGGTCAGTATATCTTCAGTGTCCCCATTGGAGCTGTTTAAAATGCTGCATGTTGTCAAATTTAATGTTGATGAAGTGCTGGACTTGCTTGCAATATCAAAGATTTCATTAGGTGTGCTTTGAAATTTGAACTCAAAGGCTTACAACCAAGGAGAGGAGGTGAAGCAACTGCAGAAGAAACTTGGAGAGAACGAAACTCAAATAAATCAACTCATGACAGATGTAAAGACCAAAGACCTTGAAATCACCAAAATGAAGGAGGAACTGGAAGCTCGAAGTGTGAAACTCAACGATCTCCAGAAGGATATCACTCAGGTGGGATTCCCCCTATTCCAAGTTGAGCTCTTTTTTTTTTTCTTTTTTTGATCCGTGGATGAACTGGTTTCATTGGCCGACCAGGTGAAGAAGATAGCCCGAAAGTACAGGACCCAGGCAGAGGAGCTGCAGAAGGGCCAGGAGGGAATGCAGGCAGAGCTGGAGGGTGTGAAGGCACAGCTGAGGGAGAAGGAGACCCAGCTGTCCAACCAGGCTCCAGCTGCTCCAGACCAGTCCCTGCTGGATCAGGCAAAGGAGGCTGGTCGGCAAGAGGCCACCAGGGAGCTTGAGGCCAAGGTTCAGGAACTAAGTCAGCAGGTAATCTTTCATGGTGCCCTCTGAGTGAAGAGTTTCATTCCTGGAGAAAGCAGGTGAAATAGCTTTAACTCATCCATAATTCAATGATGGCAATGTTCAGATAAATGGAAAGCAATTCTTTGTAATAGCTGCAGAAAACTTTGTCTAATTTTGTGAAAATGGAGAAATCGATCGCTATTAACTGGACAACCCACATTTTGATCATGTTGAAAGCAACTGCAAAAGCATCACATCCATGTCTGGAGATGGGAAGTCCCTAATTGCAAAACTTGGTTGAACGAGGAAAAATTCCAGTCCTCAAGAAGTGAAGGTGATGGGAAGTAAGCTTTTCCTTAAATTAGTCATAATCTTTTTTATATGTGGTACTTTTGAAAGAATGCTGATGAAAGCACCAAGTGCTAATTGCAAAACCCTTATTGCCACGGTGGGAGATTGGGGAAGGGGCTAGGAAACACTCAACTGCATGTGTGTTAGGAGCACTCATGTTTTACATGCGGTGTGTCACAGGTGAAGGAAATGGAAGCATCACACAAAGAAGAGAAAGATAACAACGAGAAGCAGAAGGAGAAGGCGAGGCAGACCATCGAAAACTTCCGCAACAAGCTCAAGACCCTCACCCAACTGAGAGATGAGATCAAGGCCCAGAAGGAGAGGGTCGAGGCAGAGCTCCAGACGCTGAGAGGGGCATCTACCCCAGATGCGATGGGTTAGTCTTCTCACTACATTTCCTGAATGAAGTAGTGCATGGTGGAACTGGTGTTGGCCTGCAGAAGTGTGAAGACCAAGGCATCCAGCTTTGCCTGTGAGGAAATGAGACCAGTGGAATGTGATGAAATTGTTGAAGTTATTTATTTAGTTTTTTTTTTTAAGCAGTGCCAGTTTTCACTTGGCTCCTACTTGAATCTGATGGAGTAGATGCCCATTCTGCACTACATTGTAAAATAACATCAAAGGTGATATTAGACTGAACTGTGTTTAAGTGTAACACAATCATGCTTAGGAGGAGTTACACTCTGCCCTGTACCATTGCATTTTGAAATTTGTTCTGAAGCCATTGAATGCGCATGTTACAAGTGGTTGATGAGAGTCGGTGACTGTTTCTGTCTCTTCTAGGAGAGGCAATGAAGTCCCAATACGAGGGAAGGATTGTACGCCTGGAGAAGGAGCTTACAGAGGTGAAGGCCGAAAAGGATATTCTCCAGCAGCGCCTGGCACTTGTAAGGTCATCTCTGCTTGAATATGAACAAGGAGCAAACTGGTTTGTTTTTTTTAATTTGTGCATTAGTTGCAGACAAAAAGCACTATGGCGGTGAGTGGGAGTGCCGGAATGGGACCGGCTGGGGTGGTCACTGCTGCTAACATTCGTCCCTCTGTCCAGACTCCTCCCTCAGCGACCATATATCCCCAGGTATGCACATTCATGCCACTCCTTGAGAGTTGATTTTTCCCACTAACTAATTTACAAGTGAGTAAATTCCGCCTGAGAATATTGTGTTCTTGTTTGGCCCTGGAGTTGGTGATCAAAACTGAAATTTTCACAATGAAGATTTTTTATTGAACCTGTTGGTGCCTTTTCATGGGCTGAAATTTAAAAGTTCACTTGATTTCATGTTAAGTAAGACTTGGAAGTATTTGGATGGGCATGATATGAGATGTTACAGTCTATTCTTTAAGAATTCATGTTTTCTCTCATTTAGGTGGCTGAGTTGTCTGTGCTTTACTTGTCATGTTGAGATGAAAAATAGTGGATCATGAAAAGTCTTTTTACTTAGCTTTGCATTTACGAGACTTTATGTATGGAATTGGCTCTGCAGGTGTGGATCTCTCTTGTGCTTGTGTATGGCTATAGATGAGTTGAAATCCACTTTCATTTTGGCTTTTCCTGCTTTCTTCAAGACATGTAGTGCCAACTTTAAGTGTGATTTTTACATTTTGCCTTCTTCAGTCCAAACAAGGAATGGGAAACCCTGGTGGAGAAGGAGAAAGATGTACATACACCTGCCTCACCCCCCCCCCCCTCTCCCTGCACATTTGTCACCATCTCACACATTCTCTTCATGTGTCCTCTACCTTATGATGTCCTTTGACTCCTGGTTTGTCTCGTAGTCTCATAGCTGATGGGCAAGAGCACCTAGATGCACTGAAGCTACCCTAATCTTGGAAATCTTATGTTCTGCTTTTTATTTATTCCACTATTTACATGCCTGGAAGCCTTGAAACAGTCAGGGGGAAATTAACCTGTATTGTTCAATAGTGACATTTTATTTTTTTATTTTCATGGTGCAAAATCTTGTACAAATGGTTCTATGACCACTAACATTAATGGAAATATGAGTATGATGCTTTGAACATTGCCTGATTTGCATTAATTATTTTTAGACCCATTCTTTGTAAGTTTACATGTCACAAGAATCGCCCATCCAGTAATTTTTCCAACCCCCATTTAAAGGATGAAAGGAAGCTTGATGGTCCCCCTGATGATCCTCCATTTCATTCTTTCCTTACTTCCTGCCTTCACCAGGCTTTCTTGACCTTAGGCGCTGGCCATCCTCCTCTTTATCCACATGCTGCTGCCTCAGTTATCTATCCTGAGAGGGCATTTATGTGTTCATGTTTGACATTTATGAAAGCATGGTCCATTCCTTGTTCTGTGCAGATTTCATCGGCGGCAGTCATGCGGGTTCAGCCGATCCGTCACGCCATGGCAGGAACAACCGTCATCTTCACTTCGACTCAGCCGCCGACTCGAACTGCCACTGTCATGCCCACACATCTCTCATCCACTTCTTCCATGTATGTTGTTGAAATTTTCATTTTTGAGATTTGGTGAGTACGAGGAGAAACATATCTTGGTTTGACTGCAGCGAGAGTGTGGGAATGGGAGAATTGGGCAGTGCTCCTCGGGTGGTCGTCCAGCCCAGCGTGCAGGAGACGCCTCCCTTGGCGAGACCGATGCGGAGCACGGCCACCACGACGCCCATCATACGAGAGGTTTGGTTCTTGGCTTTCTTTTTGATGAGAGAAGGGGAATGGTGGTTCAAATGGGGTGTCTGCGAATGTAGGCTGGAGGCAGCGTGTTTCACATCGGTTCGACCGAGTTGACCATTCGAGAGGTCGGTGAGAACTCGGGGATGGGAGAAGGAAACGTCGCATTGGTCGTGCCGAACACTTCTCTCATCGGGACTCCAGCTGCATCTTCGTCTCTAGCTGCAGTTACGTCTACTTCTTCAATTCCCTCTGCTCCTGCAATACAGGTTTGCTTCCACTTCAACATTCTTCTTACCATTCTTTTAATCTTCATTGTTGGTCAGAAATTCTTTTCCTCTGGAGGTTAACAAGCTCTTGTTTCATTGAGCAGGTTCTCACTTTCAGTTTGCTTGATTTTATTCTGTTTGACTTCTGTAGTACAGGGTGTCAGGGATAGCAATGATAAGAGAACATGCCAAGAAGTTCACCATTACTGCTTTGCAGGCAATAGCCTTGTTTTTTGTCCAAGAGAGCTGGTTGATGTGCTCATGTCATTTTCATATCCATGATGGCTGTGTGTGCTTTTGAGTCTCCACATTTGCAAGCCCCGTGTGACTGATCATTGCAGATACAGCCTGTTCCAGGGCCATCGTCTGGTGCATCTGCCATATCTGCCCCTGTGAAGAGAAAGCTTCCAGAGTCAGCAGTTGATTCTGGACAAGTAAGTCCCTTTCACTTTACAAGAATCCTTATGGCAAATATCAATGAATAAAGCATGCATGAGTTATATTTCTTTGCTGCATCCAATTGCTTAACATGTGCATTTGGAAGCTATGCATATATTCCAGAATGATATCACCTACTGTGACCCTAGAATTTCATATATAAAAAGCTTGTGTCTTAAATTGCATAACCAATCTGAAGTAGAAGATTTTTGATCCAAAATTAAAAGTCTATTTCCAGAAAGTTTCATGCTGCAATGCAGTGGGGGAAAATTATATTTATTTTAAGTGTATCATGTAACTTCTCAATTTGTGTTTGGATCTGCATTTTTCTATATTTATTGCCATATCATGAAGAAAGTGAGGAATCATGGGTACTCTCTGAAAAACCATCAAGAAAGTATTGCCATTTACACAGGCTCAGCTGAAGAGAGCAAAGGAAGAAAGAGGAGAAGCTGAGTCTCAGAGAGAGAGACAAGAGCCTGTGGAGGAGGATGACGTGATCGTCATAGAAGATTCTCGGGAAGCAGACGAAGGGGGCATCGTCATTGATGACAGTCAGGAAGAGCCAGAGGGAGAGGAGAGGAGGGATGAGGAGGAAATTGAGGAAGAAAACCCCGAGTATGATGGAGTAGAGGAAGAGGAAAAAGACAACGATGAGGGTGTCGAGGAGGACGACGAAGAAACCGAGAGGGAGGCCTTGGACGAGGAAGAGGAAGTAGAAGACGAAGATGAAGAACTTGACGAAGAGGAGGAGATATCAGACGAGGAGGAAGACGATGAAGGGGAGAAGCAGGGAATGAGCACGGCCGACGAGGAGGAAGAAGACGACGATGTGACCGTGATCGAGGAACCGACTGCGGAAGGGGCCACTGATGATGGAGGAGATGGAGATGGAGATGCAGGAGACGTGGATGGTGGCCAAGAAGGTGAGGAGGAGGGACAGGAGAGGATCAGGATGGCAGTGGGGGATGGAGGGGCTCAGAGCGTGAGTGCTGCCACAGACATGGGGCCAGGACCCGGAGGAGACACGAGCATGTTGAGCCTACCTGTCGGAAGGCCTGGCCTGAGCTCCACGAGCGGCTTCGAAGAGGCCGGGGACGAGGGGATCGTTCCGAGCACTCCCACTCTTTACCCAGCTAGATTCCCAGGGGAAGTGACTGTCGTCTCTTCACCTGGTGATAGATTCATCTTCTCCACTCCCACTCAGCCTGGTTTGTCTCCCATCTCATTCTGCACAGTTCATCCCCTTGTCCAATAATTGACCTCCTAAATTCAACTCTAACTTTCTAATTTACTGTACAATATCTTGGTCTGGTGTAGTGCAGTAATGGAATAGGGGGAGCCAACTGATCCATCTTCCAAATTCACACATCCCACGCAATATTGGACCTTCTTTTGTGTTTAATTCATATTGGGCCAGAGAGGCCTTATCATCTTTCCCAAGTCTGCTACTGTTGTGTCTGAACATAGCCCCCGTTTGAAACTGGTCTTGCAAAGGGAGATGAACTGACATGATATCTCAGATCTTAAAAAAACATTAAAACCGGTTGAATGTTTGAACCATTAGAAATCACTTACATGATGTCTCATGTGCAGGAATCGGAGCACCATCGCACTTGGAATCCGAGGACGCACAGATGATGGACGCCACGCGAGTGGACTTGAGTCAAATGGGCGAAGCTCGTGGGGACATCATTGTCGGCCAGCACGTCTCTATGTCTCACATTCCGGAGGGTGAGCTTTTTTATGATTGAAAATGTTTGCAGTTATTTGTATGTTTTACGATGAGGATCGTTCAGCGTTTTAACGGCTTTTGCTGCTGCAAAATTAGCTGTTGACACTTTTTCAGATGGTCTCATGATTCAATATTCCTTTACTGAGAATTTCTTCAGGAGTTCTATGCATAATGTGGATCCCTCTCAGTATATTTCATGTTTCAGGAGATGGGATTGCAGGTGAGCAATTAATTCTGTGCATTGCACAAAACCGTGGATGCATTTATGATAAGAAAATGAATGGGCTACTTTCTTTTGTGTCGAATATGAAGTTGGTCAGAAAATGAAGGCATTGTTCGTTTCCAGGACCAGGGGATTCGAACCAGTCCGGAGGCCAAGAAGTCCCCGAGTCGACGCAGGAGGAGATGGAGCCTGAAGCCGGCGAGGGGGGCAACGAAGGTGACACGGGTGAAATGCAGGAAGGGGACGGAAGTAGTCAGAGCCAGCTCGAAATGCCGTCTTCGTCAGGTCGGTCGTACGCTCGGCTCGCTTTGGCATTGCCTTTTGTTGGTGAAAACTAGATTTGATGCATTCTGCCGTGGTGCTCTGAGGGCATCCATGGCATCATTCATCTATGAATTGCTGGGTATTTTTTGTGGAAGGCTCTTTCTTTGTGCATATTTATTGATTGATACGTGGGGAGGTCGGAAAGTTCGCGGATTTTCACATTTTTCGGCGCCATTGAGTGATGAGTGATTGTGGCCTATTCAATTGATATCTCTTGAGCCCTTTCAACATTTTAAAAGAATTTTGAATACCATACAGAAAGATGGAGACCCGTCAGAAGCGAGACGGTGCTGTGAATGTTCGCGAGACTGTGAAATTTTCGGCGGAACAAAAATGAGTGATCCTCCTCTACCATTTTCGGAGCGGATTGAAACCGCAACAGGCAGGACCATGGTCTTCAAGTGGTTTCAACGATTCGAAGCTAGTAATTTCGAAGTCACCGATGATCCACGAAGTGGGCGTCCAAGAATTTCGACAGACGACAGAATGGTTGCTGCCGTGGCAAAATTCCTGGAAGAAGAACCCTCTGCGACCACAAAACGACTTGCCGACGTCTTTCAAGTCTCAAAAACGTCGATTTCGTCCATTCTTCATGACCAACTTGACTACTTAAAGAAATCTGCTCGTTGGGTTCCACGTCTTCTGAAACCGGAGGAGAAGGAGGCCAGGGTGAACTTCTGCAAGATGTTCCTGGAGGATTTTGAAGACGGAAATTCGCCAAACTTCCAAAAACCTGGTTTTACACGTAAAACCAGGCTTAATCTCCAGTGATTATCTTCCTGAAGTTTGGCAAATTTCCGTCTTCAAAATCCTCCAGGAACATCTTGCAGAAGTTCACCCTGGCCTCCTTCTCCTCCAGTTTCAGAAGACGTGGAACCCAACGAGCAGATTTCTTTAAGTAGTCAAGTTGGTCATGAAGAATGGACGAAATCGACGTTTTTGAGACTTGAAAGACGTCGGCAAGTCGTTTTGTGGTCGCAGAGGGTTCTTCTTCCAGGAATTTTGCCACGGCAGCAACCATTCCGTCGTCTGTCGAAGTTCTTGGACGCCCACTTCGTGGATCATCGGTGACTTCGAAATGACCAGCTTCGAATCGTTGAAACCACTTGAAGACCATGGTCCTGCCTGGAGCATCATCCCCGATGTTCTTCTTCATCTCTTCGAACGCCTGTTGCGGTTTCAATCCACTCCGAAAATGGTAGAGGAGGATCACTCGTTTTTGTTCCACCGAAAATTTCACAGTCTCGCGAACATTCACAGCACCGTCTCGCTTCTGACGGGTCTCCATCTTTCTGTATGGTATTAAAAATTCTTTTAAAATGTTGAAAGGGCTCAAGAGATATCAGTTGAATAGGCCACAATCACTCATCACTCAATGGCGCCGAAAAATGTGAAAATCCGCAAACTTTCCGACCTCCCCACGTATATTCAATCCTTGATTGTTCATGCAAATTATTTTAAGCAAATATCTATGCGTGCGTTGGAACACCCCTAACCGTTTGTCATCGGGTTAGGGACATGGATGTCCCAGTTGCCCGATAACCAAAATAGTCCTTGTTCAGCAGCCGATCGGGCGGGATGTATTCAACCCACAATATCCATTTTTTTATACAGAGGTCCTAGTCCTATTGGTATACCATCAAACCACTTTCACTGAGGAACTTCTTTTTTTTTTTTTGCAAGATGAAGTGCTTCATAACCTTTATAAAACTTATTGGGTTCTTGAAAATTATGAAAGTTTGCATGCTTACCTTTCTGGGATGTTTTCTTGAAATATGAAGGTATTGTTATATAAATGTAGAATTGGCAAAAATCCTAGTATTTATAAAACTGGCTCAGTAAACATTGAGCAAAGACTCACAACTGAAACCAGTGAATTGTTATGCTTGATTGCAAATTGCTTTTGGGAGGTAGTCATTACATTTCCTTATTTGTGGAAGATATTAACCCTTTCATGGCATATGGTCATTATAAGGATCATATCTTTTGAGACTGCTCTTGCAGTTACCATTGAACAAAACTTGTTTTATTTGGTACCGCTTAATAACTCTTGAAAAGGGCTCTTTGGTGATGCATCATTCATTCAATGAGGTTGTAGCTGGATCAAAAAGAAAAGTTTTGACCTGATAAATGTTTTTGTTTTTTTTTTTTGGAAAAGGGAAAAATTTTCCCCCATGCTGCAGGAATGAACGGATATAATTGTAACAAAGGCCAAGTTTTAGGGACTCCCTATGTGTGAACATTGGCCTGATATTCAATATTTTCGGTCGATGATTCTTGTAATTAAAAAATTCAATTTTTGAATATATGAGTAAATATTTGACATTTTCTGCATGCTCTGTCTTTGGCTAGGCCTGTTCAATAGAAAAAGCGGTGAAAAAATGTCCTAGTAATTCCTTTTTTTAATTCAGCCTTGAAAGTGTTAAGGGAAATTCAGACGAAACCATGTAACTATCATTATTTTTCGCGCAGGTGGATCAGGAAGCGGGAGGGAAGAAGAGATGTCGCGAGGAGGAAGCGGGCGCGGCCCACGACCTCCAGCCCTGAGGCGACCCATCATGTGGGAGACCGCGTCGCAGGAGGCGGCCCCCCAGGAGACGGGGTCCGGCCTCCGAGGAGCGCGAGGCGCGGCGGACGCAAGGGGCAGGCGGTTCCTCGCGAGGGCGATGCGGCGGGGGACCCCGACGGCCAGGCGGTCCCGGCTGGGGACCAGACCTCCTTTTAGACCTTTCACTTGACGCTCATCTGAATCCGTTTTGCATGATAATGAAGGTGAAATACACGTGTGTTTGTGAACTGCTGGGTTTTCTGCTTTGTGGAGGTGTCGGGTTGTGAACAACTCCACGGGGAGCAAGTCAAGCGCCTAATTTTGCCCCTCGAGAAGGAAGGTTCTCGGACACTGTAGAATTTTGTGCATTTTGCATACTTGATTTATCCATTTTCATACAGATGGAGCTGAAAATAACACAACGTGAAAGAAAGTTGGCTTGAACCTTTTTTTTTTAATTCATGATAGTCTATATTTGTGTTGAGGGAGTGGACAAGCCAAAACCCCTCAACCTCTAATCTCTAAGATAAGACTGCTAGACTGTGTCCACTAGAGAGTGCCAAAGTCGACTCTCATGGCTGTGCATGTTGCTGTGGGCTTTAAAGCGTTCTGGGTTTGTTTTTTTAGGTTATTGGATTAATATTTGGCAGAAGTGCGAAATCATTTGCAAAATTACGCTTTTGCCATTATTCACGATGGGAAGGCATGGACCTTCTGTCGTTGCCTGGAATTTGGGATGAAATCTTCTGATGTGGCCAATAGGCTGCATCATAAAATAAAACAAATTCAAGCAGTGGACATTTGTCATTCGATGTGATGGTTTCTCGCTCCACTTGGGCCTAGTTGATGAGTTCCTCCTGATTTCTAGATTGTAGAGGTGACCTTTATTGACCGGTGAACTTTATACCGCGACCTGAAGCATTTAATTCAAAGGAACTGTTAGTACTGAGTATTACTTTAGGCATTTTCCTGTGATGTTTTACTGTTTTTTTTTTTATATTACATTATGGGCTCTTCCATATTCACCCCATGTTGACCGGAATTTTTTTCCCTTCTACTGTTTGTATTTTTGTGCTCTCAAAAATTTTATCTCTAATAGTTTTTTCAGCGTTCTATTTTTTTTTCATTTGCCCTCTCCTTTAAAACCGAGAAAACAGGTATTTTCTCAGGCTTTACACAGCAACTTCGACCTCAGTTTCTCAAAATAACCTTCCAGCCCCAAAGAGATGACCATGGGTGGAAAAACAATAATTCCGCAAAACAAATTTGAAGCCCCACTAACTTTCACTCATGGTCTTCCATTTCTCTAAATCTTGACTTTGCATTTAATTGCCAGTTTGGAACCAACTTGGGAAGAGAATGCGGCTCAATTTAACTCTTTTGCTGCCAAACATAATTTCTAACATGGAAAACTTAGGCAATGGACTTTGAATCCACCATGGAAGGGGCCCTTCCAAAGATGACTTCTCTAAGAGTTCAGAGTAATTGTGTTTCCTAACTGGCTCATGCCATAAAATTGTGGCTGAAATCCATTTTAAATGGAATGCATCCCTTGAAAAATAATTTAATATGTAGTTTGCACCTTGAATCTGGGAAAATTCCTATATGCCACATAATATACCACACTGGCTTCATTCAATGTTTTGTTTTTGATGGCACTTGTAGGGCATCTGTACAATTTTTTTGGCATGAAGTTGAGTTTCCCAATAATGTGATTACTCTTCATCACTTGCTGGTTGGCCTGTTTTTGTGTTAAAGTGTGCATTGTGCTTAACAGGTATTGTTGAGACTGCTCGTGGTTCACTTCATTCTTTTGTGGGCTAAGACAAGAATGTCAATTACACCTGATACACCGAACCTTTGCTACAACTTTGTGAAGGTTGCCCAGCTTGTGGCAAAAATGGGGCCCGAGGGTGAGAGAGAGTTTAAGGAAAAGGTCAAGTTGGATCCGAAGTACTCGTTCCTCTTTGGCGGCCCGTACTTCGACTCCTACCAGAAGCACTTGCATGATGCGAGGGATGTCTTGATGCGACAGGAGCAGCAGCTCCATAGTCGTGCCAACAATGGCCTTCCTCCAAGTGGTGTTCCAGTGGCTCAGTATAATCCATCATCTGGAACCTCACTCCCGGCTGCACCTGTATTCTCGCATTTGGCTCAACCTGCATCCTCTCACTTGGCTCAACCTGCATCCTCTCCCTTGGCTCAACCTGCATCCTCTCCCTTGGCTCAACCTGCATCCTCTCCCTTGGCTCAACCTGCATCCTCTCACTTGGGCCCCCCTATATCTACTTGCTTGGCCCCACCTTCACACATGCCTCCTCCAGCAACTGCATTGTCCCTGCCCCAACCGGTTCCCCCATTGGGGAACACAGCCGACCAATGGTTCACCCAAATTCAGCAGCTTCAAGAGCAGATCTCCAGGAGCGAACAGAACCTTGTGGCTCAGCATAAGACACTCATGCAGCAGCAGCAAATCCAGATCTATGATACCTTCAAGAAGGTAGGGTAACCTGTGTTATGCTAAGGACAGAAATAGAAAAATAACTTTCGTGTACCTAGAATGTTATTGAGTTGTTGTACAAATTAAGGGCTGAACAACGTCATGAGGACCAAAGGCCAGGGAAGGTTGGATGGCATGAGTGGATGAAATAAAGCCAGAGGACGGCCAGGAATTGAACCCAGGCCTCCTGATTGCCAGTCAGGTGTGCTACCATTACACTACCAAAACTGGGACATTCTATCATACCTCTCCATGCCATCCCAATCACTGCAATAATATTCCGCTGTCCATTACTCCTCCTTCTGTTTCACATTAGTGTTAGGGCATTTTAATATGAAATGAAATATAGTCAATCCTAGATACACTGCCACTCACAACACCCACCATTGCTTATTGCCAACCCTTTACTGTTAATATAAATCATAACCCTGAATGTGTAATAGGTGATGCAATTTTATAGCATCTCTCTCATCAGCCATTTCCTAACAGCATTGTATTGTATAAACATGCTTATTTCTTCTTTATAAGTACTCCTTTTTATCAAAGCAAATGGCACATGTCCCTCAGCCATTGCCAAGAGCAGCTAAATATTTGCTGCCGTCAATAGGGATGGTTCATCCATAGAATCACTATGCTTAGAACTAGTGTTGAGTACTTGAGGGGACTAAGGATCACAAGATATTCTGCTTATGCACTTAATTGATTTTTCCCTTTAGAGGTTTTGGAGTCAAAGCTACTGACATACTGCAGTTCATTTTATATATCACATCCCATGTTAATATCCCAAAATCAACTATAACCAACAGTGGCATTATACCAAGGGTTGATTGTAATTAAGTACTAAGAGGACTTCTCGTGAGAAAGAAGTTTTCTGATTGCACTTTGAAAGAAAATGAGCTCATAGACCCTCATTGGCCTTAATGTACCCCAAGCAGTGATACCACATGTGGTTTATTAGTTTACATCTTTATCCCAAGAACTCTCTTCCATACCTATGTTGACCTGTCACAAAGCATGCATGGCATTAATGTTATTCTTGGAAACCTTGTGTTCATGCAACCTGATGATGATGCTGTGTTATCCCGTCTTCTGTAGTGTTCTGAAAATCGAGTAGGCTGACTGAAGTTCTTAATTTTTTATTCCTAAATTTTTTGCAGGCCCAAGAGGAACGAATTCAGAAGCTGTGTGAAGAATCTGGGGTCACAATGGCAGAATTTGAGCAGATCCTCCAGCCCATCATCAACTCCTGCACCAAGGACTCCATCTCCCGCGGGAAGGCATGGATCCTGTCGCACGCCACCACTTCCAGTTTCTGTGAACTGGCCCCTCGTTATCTCATCAACAAAATCATAGAGCCTGGAGCCACATTTAGTCTCAAGATGCATCTCATTTACCTCATTAACAACCTGCTGCATCACTGCGTTAGAAAGGACTTGCAAAAATCTTTCATGGAGATGGCAGTCACGCCCATGTTCTGCAATGCCTGGTTCTCTGCCCCCGAGAACGAGGAGAGGCTTGAAAACCTTCTATACTTTATGCTTTTCCCGAAAATGGTAATGGTCCTTTTATGATACTGGTGAGGCAGTGAATTTTTTTTCTGTTGCTTCAGCCAGTGTCAAATGCTGCAGGAAATGCCACTGAAAAAGAAGTTGAAGCAGCTCTAACTCTTTCATAATGCAATAATGGTGATTTTCAGATAAATGGACTGCAATTCTTTGTAATAGCTGCAGAATATTTCCTGGGTCTAATTTTGTAATAAATAAAAAATGGTGATATTGATCAGTATTAACTGGGGCTGTCACGATAGACTGATGCATTGATGACACTTGGTTGGAGGGATTGATAGTTTTTCCAACCATCACGATTTAACGGCAAAAGTTTTCTAAGGGGAATCGTCCCATTAGATGGAGGAGATTACAGTATGATACAGTCCTCCCGGCAGGGAAAGGAAGAGATGGTGTGACCTGCATGGGTTTGCAATATCTTATAAAAAAATCTAATTCTGCAAATGAATTGACTATATGAATGACAGGAAGGAAAAGAAAAAACACATTGGTTTGGTTGGAAGTGAAATATCAATGCATCGATGTACTATCGACAGCTCAAGTTGATGCATCAATGTTTTGAAAACTGCTATCATGACAGATGTAGTAAAAACCAAACAGCCCACATTTTAATCATATAGAAAGTTTTTCACATTCATGACTGGAGATGGGAAGCCCCTTATTATAAAACTTGGTTGAATGCAGGTAAACTCTAGTCCTCAAATGAGGTGAAGGATAACAGGAAGTAAGCTTTTAATTATTATAGTATATATTTTCATGATGTGTGGTACTCTTGAAAGAATTTTGATGAAGGTGCTAGGTGCTAATTGCAAAAAACCTTATTGTGAAGTTGGGAGTTGCTAAGAAACGTCCAACTCCGTGTATGTTAGGAGCACATGCATTATATTTGCGGTGTGACAGGTGAAGGAAATGGAAGCATCACACAAGGAGGAGAAGGAGAAGGCGAGGCAGACGAACGAAAACTTGCAGGAGGAGCTTAGAATCCTCACTCAGCAGAGGGATGAGATGAAGGCCCAGAAGGAGAAGGCGAGGCAGACGAACGAAAACTTGCAGGAGGGGCTTAGAATCCTCACTCAGCAGAGGGATGAGATGAAGGCCCAGAAGGAGAAGGCCAAGGCGAAGCTCCAGATGCTGAGAGGGGCATCTACCCCAGCTGCAATGGGTTTGTGTTCTGACTACATTTCCTGTGTGAAGTAATGCATGTTGGAACTGGTCTTTGCTTGTTGAGTTGTGAAGACCAAAAGATCACTCTCTGTTTGTGAGGAAGTGGCACCAGAGAAATGTGATGAAATTGTTAAAGTATTTTATTTAAAGAAATTTCTTTTTGATGCAGTGCCAGTTTTTCAATTGGCTCCTACTTGAATCTTATGAAGTAGGTGCTCCTTACACACTACATCATAAAATAACATCAAAATTGATATTAGACTGGACTCTTATTAAGTGTAATAGGTTACAGGTGGTTAAGGTTTAGTGACTATTTCTATCTATTCTAGGAGAGAAGTCGTCGAAGAAGATGAAGTCCCACAACAAGGTAAGGATCATACACCGTGAGAAGGAGCTTGCAGAAGTGATAGCACTTGCAAGGCAATAGATCATCTCTGCTTGAGATGATCTATTGCCTTGCAATAGATCATCTATTCCAGGCTGTTCCTGCTTAAATGAATGTATTTAGTGCATGTTTTAAATGCAATTCATGCAAAATTCCTTCTTCAGCAAATTCAATTGCTCAAGTACGAGTCTGAATACGGCCCCTGGTTTTCATTTTCAGTTTGCTGGATTTTATTCTGTTTGACATCTGTTGTACAGTGTGCCAGGGATAGCAGTAATCTGAAAATATGCCAAGAAGTTGAAAATTTGCCTGCCTAGCAGGCAATAGCCTTCTTTTTGTCTATGAGGGCTGGTTGATGTGCTTATATCATTTTCATATCCATGATGGCAGTGTGTGCTTCAGAGTCTCCACATTTGCAAGCCCCATGTGACTGATCGTTGCAGATGCAGCCGGTTCCAGGGCCATCGTCTGGTGCATCTGCCATATCTGCCCCTGTGAAGAGAAAGCTTCCCGAGTCAGCAGTTTTAGTCAATTTTAGACAAGTAAGTCACTTTCACTTTGCAAGGATCCTTATGGCAAACAGCAATGAATAAATGAGTGATATTTCTTTGATGCCCCCATTTGCTTAAAGTGTATGTTTGGAAGCCATGCATATATGGCAGAATATTACCTTATATGACCCTATAATTACTTGCATAAAAAGTTCGTGTCTAAAACTGCTTCACCATTCTGAAGTGGAATATAAAAATGGTCCACTACTTTCAGAGAGTTCTTTGTTGCATTTTAGGGGGGGGAGGGGGAGAGGAATCGAATTCTTTTAAGTGTATCACACGTAACTTCTTTATTCGTGTTTGGATCTACATTTTTCAATATTTATTGCCATGTCATGAAGAAAGTGAGGAATCATGGTCATTCTCTGAAAACCCATCAAGAAAGTGTTGTCCATTTACACAGGCTCAGCTGAAGAGAGCAAAGGAAGAAAGAGAAGCTGATCAGGAAGAGCTAGAGCCAGAGGGAGAGGAGTCGTGGGATGAGGAGGAAGTTGAAGAAGGAACTAGAGGAAGGAAGAAAAGATTATGAGTAGAGATGCAACGATACTGATTTCTGGCCGATATCCGATATACCGATATTTTTTAAAAACCGATACCGATATCTATATTCACACATTCAAGCCCTGAGATTCCAATACAAAAAAGACATTCATGTACATATATATAGCTTGTACCATATGAACTTTCTTGTTTATTGCAGTTATGCACTAGTGAAAATCACAACGCAAGAGATCCAAATACCAATGGGGATGAAATAAAAACCAAAGGAACAATACTCTTGAAAGATTCATAAACATCACAAAAAATGAAATCACAGGCCTTCAATAAAAAATATTGCATAAAAGAAGGGACAATGAGGGTTCATGAGTATGGCAAGCTTAAAGCTCATGTATAAATGCCAAAAAACTAGCACCTCTTGGTTAATTTGCAAAGAAAAATTGCATTCTTCTGTAATGTATGCCAGCCTAAGACCGCGCAACGTCCAGTTATCAGTAGAGTCGAGGCGGGGAGGAAGCTGAAGGAGGTGAACTAAAACATCCATCAACACGTGGAGGGAGGTGAACCCAGTGTTTGGGGTCAACCAACACGTGGAAGGGCTCCTTACAGTTTATATGGAGGATCTTT